AACCAAGATAACACTTTACATGTAAGGGGACAAAGAGGGCACCGACGCTACACTCAGATTGTTTGTGAATATGCGCAACCCCAATACGTTCGTGGGCTCTTTGGTTCTATGTCAGAAGAGCACAGAGGTATCACTAGAGAAAGGAGCACAGTGACGTTTTCATTGGGCTCCTAGATGGAAGCTATAGTGGCATTTCAGAGAATTAAAATGTTTTCAATGTGTAACATTTAGACAGCGACCTGTTTGGTCCACGTATACGCAATTGCAAGTCTATGGTATGAAGTGCGCAGCACCAGTGATACAGGATACATAACTATGATAATGACTAACATTGCATGATCTAACTGAACATTTTGCTGATTGGCGACACGTCGCTTTACTTTGGAACATGAAGTGAATAACTTCTTCCTGGCAACCCAATCAGGTAAGTTGGCGTAACAAATGCTTATCAAGAAGTCTTTGGTCTCATTACAAAGTCTAACTTGACGCCTTAACTTGTAAACTGAAGGGACACCGTAAGCTCATCAGTGCTGCAATTGAGGCTACAAATAGGTGTATGTTTAGGAGCCTTCTTAGATATACCTATTTAAACGGCAAAAAAGTCATGCAGACTGGAGCCGTGATGTTCATGTGTGACACACCCCTACCTGAAGATGTTAGCCGTCTTCTCAACAAACACCCGAAGTATAGAATTGAGCCGACTGCCTGCGCACATGAGTTACCAGCGCTAAACTATAGAGTAACAGGAAAAGTTTTATTGGAGCAGCGTAAGCGTGCCTTAATGGATGGTGTTGACTCTCTTCAAAGATGTGCTTCAAGGCCAGGAACTGGATATCACGTGCGCGAATTCTATGTCGTCATTTATTTTTCTTCAGAGATAATGACGTACGCTTAATGCAATCGAATAAGTAGGGTGGTTTTGTGACTTTGCCTACATCTGCATTTAATGAAAAAGCCTTGCGGGTTGCTATTAAGAACTTCAAGAGTGTGAATTGAGCCTGGCAAAACATAAGAAGACTGCGAGCAAACATTGTGAAGAAGTTGGCACTTAGCGTATGTCGAAGCAGATTGCAAAGACCAAAGGGGATAGCTTTTTAGCCTTTCCAGTTCTAAGACTCACCAGGTGAATGTCCCTTTCAGGACTACATATATTGAGCGGGATGGGTGGCAACAGTATGTCAGTAGTTTTTCATTAAAGTCACTTCAGTGTGCTGCTGTCAACAGCCCTTTTCTGAAACTAATTTCTGACGAAGTTGATTAATAGATATGTGAGGTTTAACGTCCCAAAACCACCATATGATTATGAGAGATGCCGTAGTGGAGGGCTCTGAAAATTTCGAGCACCTAGGGTTCTTTAACATGCACCCGAATTTGAGCACATGGGCCTACAACATTTCCGCCTCCAATAAAAATGCAGCCGCTGCAGCCGGAATTTCATCCCGTGACCATCCCGGTCAGCAGCCGAGAACCTCAGCTACAAGACCACAGCGGTGGGGCATTGTGTAGAGCATGCTTCAGTTATCGAGTTGTCGAGTTCTTTCACCGTAAAAATAAAACGAGTTCTCTTTTTTTTTCTGTAGATGTGAGTGATCTTTTTCATTCCGTTTCACATCCTAAGCCCATTGCTGCTGGTAACTTATGCTACGAAGAAGACGGTGAGGCTCATTTTGTTGCTCGTGCTGAAATTTTGGTACCAAATTGTTTGAAATAAGAGCGCACTACAAAGACGCGAACAGAAGAGACAGGGACAAGTGCTTGTCTCTGTCTATCCTGTCGACATATACGTTGTACGCTCTTATTTCATACAATCATGTATCACCCACTCGCTCAATCAACCATATTGACAAGTCGGTACTTAATGTCCTTACTGTTCTAAAAGCGTCCCTCAGAAGTACTCTCGTTCCTTTTGAAGGTGGCATATATACGCGAAATAAAGACATTTGCATCGGGACCAGTGTAGCACCACTTCTGTGTGACAATTTTTCATCACTTAGTGACCAGGTAATACAACGTATTTCTAACTCATAACATTCTTCTAATGTTTTGAAGTATGTTGATGACTTTTATTGTTTTAGACAAGACGTGCCTTTTGGCCTACCATGAAATCGTAGACTTCTTTTTTTAAGACAAATTCCAAAGGACTAGCTTTCATTCATTAGTTTCTAAGCGACAATGTTTTGCACCTTTGAGACATTAATTAACCTTGCAACGAAAAGTGATCGTATTTGTTGGGCTTACATGCCTCGTAGGAAAAAGAGCTTTTGCCATATGACTCCGTGAAATATACGAGTGTTAAACATAGTATTTCCCTGCATTGCCTTCAATCCGCGCTGCGCAGATTGTGTCCGCACGTACATGATGCAGACCAGCCTAGGCAATCAAATTTCCAGACTGAAAAAGGCTAGCTTTCCTCGGGTGGCTCAATTTCCTATGGAGGCGGAAACGTTGTAGGCCCTGTGCTCAGATTCAAGTGCATGTTAAAAAACCCCAGGTGGTCGAAATTTCCGGAGCCCTCCGCTACGGCGTCTCTCATATTCATATGGTGGTTTTGGGACGTTAGACCCCACATATCAATCATCAATACTCGGGTGGTCTTGCACGCCATTGCCGTATTTTTGCTACGGAAGCTGAATACCAGCACTCCGGAAGAGCATTCAAGATATTAGAAAGAAAAGGAGCACTCTAAACCACAAGTTGTGGTTTGCACAAGCTGAGATATCACATCAAGACGGTGCCTACAAGGTTTCTGTTTTCTACTTCGAATAATCTGGCACACTTGCGCCCACAAATCTCTCGTGCCAGGCCGCAAGGAGGCCAAAAGAGGGACGTGAAATTTTTCAGGTGATGTGCCAACGCTGTTGTTACTAGTATTTCTCTGAGCAGTGGTAAGTCCTACACTGCACAAACTGGATGCTGTAATAACGACTGCCTCAGGGAGCATGCGAATAGTACTGGTGACAGCGATGGTGCTTATCTTTCTGCACATGTAAGATCATGCAAGTGTGTGCCACGTTTTAAGCAAGCTGTCGGATTATCAGCAAAAGTCGAGACCAAAGAGCAAGAGAACTGCTAGAGGCGTAATATAATAGAAGTAATGCATCGGCTTTTGTTAGTGGCACGTCTGGTATAGTCTATCAACCTGAGTTATCCTTGTTTACTCAAATGCTCACGTGTTGACATGTCTGTGGTAATATTTTTGACGCCACTGTGGATGGACGGAAATTTCTCTGTTTTTTTTTTCAGCCGCACCAGCAAGAAACAGATTTTAGTTCGGCGCCCGTCTGTTTTTTTCCTGCCCCCTGTTTCATGTTCCTAATATAGGGCCAATTACAAAATATTCAGTAAACCATAAACCCAGCTCACCCAAAAGCAAGTTCTTCAAACATTAGATTTAATTTATTAACATCATTGCTTTTTCAAAATGAAACGTGCATAGGGTAATTTGGAGGAGGCATTTCAAGCACCGACGCTGCTTTGGCATATATGTTGCTCCACATTGTCGTGCATAAGATCTGGGAATCAAATTGAGCTTGAACCTGAATATTTTTTTTTCTTTTTGAGCATGATAGCGTTACGGACACTGGAGGTGGTGGTTAGTTGGTAGAAAAGCGGTGTTATGAAAAAAGTTTTTATTTTTATTGTTCAACACCCCAGAACAGAATACCATTTTGAAACAATATTGCAACCGAAATAGCAGAGCAATTTTCTTCTCCTTCTGCATCTTCAATTCACTGGCTTATTACAAAAAATAACAAACATGGAGTTTTTTTCACGTACATAGTATTGTCTACGAAGAATGTACAGAGCAATGACCATAGACACAGCAAGAATAAAACACCCCAGCTAACCAGCTATCATAAACAATAATTGAAGTGGCCAAGTCGAAATGTTCAGTATATAGCTATCATTCTGCAGTGAAGCTTGAAACTATGGTATTTCATTATTCGTGACCACGTCCGCCTTGCTTTGTTGCGCCGTGCTCTTGTCAACTTCACAAATCACGCCCTGCGCATCAGCGTAACAAACTAAACATAGATAGCCGGCAGGGTGCTACAGCCTCGGATAGGCCAATAAACACGTAATTTGTGAATTCGTTCTTAGCCCTACAACAGGTTTAAAATTTCAGACCTTAATTTTGAGGCCACATTGTATAGGTTTCTAGTTTTTCAGCTTCAACTCTCATTTAATGCAATAAGACAAACTAGTTTGAGGCCAATCCTCCACGGTGGGTGTGAGTCACATTCTCTAGGTGAAGAAAAACTTCGTCACTCCTTGTTGGCAGGCACGTTGCAAGTTGCCTCTCAAGCCCCAATGAGCACCACATTGCTGGATGGGGAAGGACTTGGGCGTGCATCGGCTGGCAAGCAAGATAAATTTGGAAGCAAATGGCGGTCAATATAATCGCTCGTTATCTTATCCACAAATAATAAAACTATAATATAAATGCTCCAGACGACTAGTGAATGCAATGGAGCCAATTTCAGAATTCTGTCGTCAGAGAGGGTCGTGATTAAGCCAGTTTGGCGCAAACTAGCTGCCAATGGGAAGCCTGGTGGTGATGGACCACGCATTTTTGTTTTTTATAAGTCATATGTAATGCCTTTGGTTTGTATCCACATAAATATTTAGAACTAGCTCTCGTGTGCCGCAGATGGCGGCGCTGATCCCTGGACTACCGAAAGATGAGTGGAATCAGTGTTCATTCACTCGCCGTAGTATTGCTTTTATTTTATCATCCTAGTTTTAACTTCGAGCCTTATAGCGTTGCCAATCGATGATCTAAAAACGTCCTTGCTTGCATTGATTGCTGTAATTGGGCTAGAATTTGAAGTGGTAACTTCACTCCCATATATCGCAAGGCTACGGTCACTGAGATATACCAACACGAAGCAGTGTGCACATATTTAAACTACCCATATAAAACCTACACTCATGCCTAATACATAACAATCACTTGTTGAAATTTTGCGAACAATATGTTTTTTTTTTCTGCTTGCTAGGTGGCATGGCGTACATGTTGAGCTATCTTGATCGATATGATTCGCCGTTGACGGCTGCTGGTTTCATCTCAGTGGACACTTTCTTCTTCATGAGGCAAGTCACCTTTACGAGTGGTTATTGATATTATTAACAAAGTTTTTGCTTTCGCTTTTGCCTGTATGTTTTTTCTCCGTTCCTATATTTATTTTCCAGATTAGGCTTATTCCTGTGGCATAGTGCATCATTCTTCAGCATTCCCAAGTGGCATGTTAGTGATGCACTTCGTATCTAGAAATAACGGATATTATGCATGAAAACTGAAGTTTTTATCTTGTAACGCAGCGGGTGAAAAACAGCGCAACTTCGTCAAAGCTAAAACTGAATATAGTTCTTCCATATAATATCAATATCCAAGAGCTCTGAAATGGGAATTAAATATTTATGAGGCAACGACAAATATAGATGCTCATATGATGAACAAAAGCAGTTCGATGAATGGCTATTTCACCTCAATCATTACTTTAGATGTGTTTGGCAAAATTTTTCGGTGAATTTGTGACAAAAGATACGTTCATTGTTCATACGTGTCATCTTCTTTTAAGCTTTTATGCTTTATATCTTGCCACTGAGATCAATAACTCGCGATTGTGAGTGCCTCAATAAATGAATACAAGGTCACTTTGAAGACGTTACACATAGGGATGTAGTTCATGTGATTATAGTATTTGATCGCCATATTTGGGTACAAATTGCAAAGTAATGATATGCGCCAATAGAACTGAGCGTGCCATTCTTCTTTTCACAAGCATCATTCTCGACATATATAAAGTGGCCCATTGTTTGGCAGGGCAATATATATATATATATATATATATATATATATATATATATATATATATATATATATATATATATATACGTTTCGGCCTAGAGTCTGGCCTTTATCAGGATTAAGGGCACACTTTCTTGGTGCTCAGCTTTATACAATTTTAAAACAGAGGGGGAGAGAGGAATAAATGCACAATATATACCTTGATAGAGGAATACTGAGAATCCCCTTACACTTGAAGCAATTAAAGCTTTAGAAAACAATAACGGCAATAATGAAAAAATAACTGAGTGCACAGCACTGCCGCTGCGTAGGACACTGAACAACTGAAAATATTTCCAAGTGTAACTTTTCTTCCTAAGTACAGCTGTCGCATGTTTCTGCTTTTACCTCATCGTCCAATCAATTGTGCCAAACATGACATGCCCAACAGCAACCCTGTGCACAGTCGAGAGGCCCCTACTGCACGCGTAATCCTGAATCGGGCCAGAATTGCCATTGCACCCGCTTCCAAGCCTCTGCGGGAATACGCGGCGCCCCTCTTTCTACGACGAGATGTCGACGGGGCCCTAAGTAGTTCAAGGCTTAAACTTCTTCAAAAAGCTCTTTTTCCCCCACACCGAACCGCCAGAGCCAGGAGGCGCTGTCTGGTCGGGAACAATGCGTTAGTGAAAGGAAGGATACACAGACTACAGACATCCTAAAAGTGGAAAGGAGAAAAGTGAGAGAGTTGGAAGGTAAGGGGAAGGAAGAGTGAAAGGGGGCGCCTGGGGGAGTCCAGCTTAGATTCTCCTTTTTTTTCTTTCTTTTTTTTCTTTCCTTCTTTTTTCTTAAGGTTTTCCTCTTTCTCTCTCCCTCTGATTTAAGTATGTATAAAGCTGAGCGCCAACAAACTGTACCTTCAATCCTGATGGAGGCCAGACTCTAGGCCGAAACGTTGAAATAAACCACGTTGTGACCACTCACGGACGATCTACTTCTCTACTTGATATATATATATATATATATATATATATATATATATATATATATATATATATATATATATATATATATATATAAGTCAAAGAAGTGTATATTTAAGGGCTCGTTTTTCCGCGTTTTGGCACAATAATAATGAGATCTAACAGACAGTAATGCCAAGGAACGTACAGGGGAAGCTATTAAAACCAATGGAATGTAAATAATAAAACAAGTGGGTAAAACAATAACCAGCCGTGAGCAGGAATCAAACCGATGACCTTCGAATAACGCGTTCGATGCTCTAACCACTGACCCATCACAGCGGCCTTCCCTCCATCCACTTTTTTTGGGTTTATTTGTGAATTTAGAAGTAGGAGTATAGATGGCGCTGACTGATACTCCTACTTCTAAATTCACATATAAACCCAAAAAAGTGGATGGAGGGAAGGCCGCTGTGATAGCTCAGTGGTTAGAGCGTCGAGCGTGTCATTGTAAGGTGGTTGGTTCGATTACTGCTCAAGGCTGGTTATTTTTTCACCCACTTTTCTTTCTTCTTATTTACATTTCAGTGGTTCTAATAACTTCTCCTGTACATTTCTTGCATTCCTTGGCATTACTGTCTGTTAGATCTCATATATATGTATATATATATATATTGTTCAGGTAAGACTCTAACCGCAGTGAAGAAGACGCCCGCACGAAGTGATTTTAATCGATTTTATTGACGTTTCGGCCGCGTGTCCGGCCTTCGTTCGTATACAGTGTATGGCATGAGTGCCGTTTACTTACGCTGACATGAAAGGCGACATATGGACATATATAAATGCAAGTCACACGATTTGAAGGGAACCTGATACAGGAGTAAAAAAATATCGTTTCACAGCCCGACTAGGTGGCGAACACGTTATTTACAAATAAAAGATAAGACATATAAGAAATAAAACGCAAAACATGAAGAGTAGACCGACCGGTAAAGGGAAGGTGAAAAAAAGAAGAAAAAAATAAACTAATAACAAAGAAAAAACAAAGAGCTATATAAAAGACGTTACAAAGCTGCTACGTAATCAACAGATACAGACAGTGTAGCGCGACTTGCTGAGCAAGGTAGAAAACAGATGGACAGGGTGATACAGGTTATACAGATAGGCAACTGAGTTTTCCTACGCTTTGGTTCAGGCCAGATGCGATGGCGTCGAAATTATAGGTGGGGAGTTATTCACGGGGTTCTCTATCATAATTCTTGCGGAAACCAGTATTGAGTAAAGTGACCTGTAGATTTTCAAAAGAGTGGTTAGGGAGGAGCACGTGTCATGAAATGGGCAAGTGGAGCAAGGTGTTAGCGTGATATTCATGGTTGTTAAAACGCCGTCTAAAAGGCCTTTCTGTTTGACCAATGTACTTCGCATAGCGCACATTCATTCATGTATATAACGTTGTTAGATTCACAGTCATGATTGCCTTTGATTTTTAAGGAAAAGTTGGAACCAGTACTAGTGACTTGTTGGCGTGGCGCATGTACGGGCCTACCTTGCACCGTAGTTTTCAGCAAGGATGGCACCCGATTGTGTCAGAACTGTCTGTTTTCGATGATGATGATGAGAGTGTATCTCAAAGATATTAAGCTTTGCGATGCACTGGATGTAAGTGGTTCGGCAAAAATGGTTCTTAGGCGTTCAGTTTGCACTAAAATATTGTGATGCTTTCTTAGCACATTGGAAAGCCGCGGAACTGACGCAGAATGGGTAAGGAATAAGTTTGTCTGCTCTGAGGGAGTCGAGTTTTTAGCAGTGCACAACAGCGTTCTACGATTATTCGTGCCGGCACACTTGATTGCGTCATCAATAAATGCGGTGGATATCTTTGTTTGAATGAAGCATCCTTTAGTGTTCTGCAATTTTTTTAACTCTGATTGCTCTGAACAGGTTCTTTCAAAGCTTAAGACCTGACTGTAAGGGATGCTAGTTTCACAATGTTTCACCTGGCTACTGTTAAAGTGCAAATACTGTTGCTGGTCTGTAGGCTTCCTGTAGAGAGCAGTCGATAGTTTATCATTTACAACCGAAATGCTGACATCATTAAAACTAAGCGTAGATGTGGAATATGTGTGAGAAAATGATAATTATGGATGGGCATCCTTAAAGTCACATATGAAGGAAAGCAACGCCTGTAGACAATGTGGCCAAATAAGAAAAAAATGTCATCGATGTAATGTTCATAATAAAAAGGTTTCAGCGCGCGGGTTTGCAAAAATTCACTTTCAAGCAGGCACATAAATATAATGGCGTAATTGGGTTCAATACGCGTACCCATTGACGTGCTACTAACTTGGACGTACTGTTGCCCTTCAAATTGAAAGTTATTTAGCTTTAAAATAAACCTGAGTAATACTGCAAATGTGTTGCTGTTGATATGTTTATCCGGCGATGCTGCTTCATGGGACCTGGCGACTGCCAATATTACGTCTACATGCGGAATGTTAGTGTGTAAAGACGCTACGTCTAGTGTGACAAAAAAGCCTTGAGGAATATTGAAATAAATTATATCAGAGACAAAGTTTGTAGTGTCCCTTGCGTAAGACGGAAGTAATGCTGGGATACTACTAATCAGAGAATCGACATAGCTGGACAATTGTTCTGTGTCAGTACTTATCCTGGCACTAATGAGACGGTCGGGGTTGTTTATTTTATGTATTTTAAGCAAAAGGTAAAAACGACCGGGTCATTTTTACCTTTTGCCATTTTTATGCGGGATGGTGCGAAGAAGAGGACGACGACGTGTTTGGTTTTCGAAAAAACGAAAAGTACACAACGGCTGCCATTTGACTGCTGGTCTATTTTTCTACTCTAAAGTAGTACATACATTCGCAACACTTTGGTGGTGGTGCCCGGTACGACCTATAAAGGAACTTCACAGCAGACGTGTTCTTTGCTGCCCAACCAAGTCAACAGAAACCAGTTCTGCCGATCCTGTTTCAGCCGTGACTCCAGCACGCTCATATTTGTTAGGCCGCCATATTAAAGGGATCCTGAAATGATTTTCGTGATTTTGTACAAACACAAGGAGCCTCTACACCAAATACTAAGTGTGATTTAGAGACCGATTTGAGCTCTCTGCACCAACTCTGTGTGTAGTTTATTGCAACACTTTAAAGCTGCAAATTCCTGCAGATTGGTGCTGATCACTGCGACTCAGCCAAACGCGTTTTCAGCCTATCATTACTGAGCGACACCCTCTGGCCAAATGACGTCGTTGTGGCTGCTGATCACATTGGTTGTCATTAGTTGTAAAATGCACGGAAGAGAGATCGGCTGATGAGGGGTGA